AATATTTAAAAGGAAAAAAAAGAAGGGTATAAATCAATAATTTAAGCTTCTACCTCAAGAAATTAGAAAAAAAAAAGAGCAATCCAAAGCAAATAGGAGGAAATGACAAATATAAGAAGTCATTAAAATTAAAAACAGAAAAACTATGGAGAAAATCAATGAAACCAAACGCTGGTTCTTTGAAATGACCAATAAAGTTGATAAACCTCCCCTGAGACTGAGAAAGGAAAATAACAAGAAAAACATAAATTCTCAATATTAAGAAGAAGAGAGGCTATATCACTACAGATGTTTCTAACCTAGACAATAAAGGGATAATTTGGGAATGCTATGAACAATTCTATGCACATAAATGGGATATCTTTATGGAGGGGATCAATTCCAGAAAAACCACAAACTACCAAAACTCTCCTAAAATGGCATAGATTATCTGAATGGTCCTACAACTATTAAAGAAATTGAATTTGTAATTAAACATCCTCTGAAAATGAACTCTCCTTTCCCAGATGGTTACTATGAAGAACTCTAACATTTGAAAAACAATTCAACATAATCTCTTTCAGAATATAGTAAAGGAATGAACATTTCCTAAGTCTCTGAACTCAGTTTATGAGGCCAACATTACATTACAACAAAGTTAGTAAAAACGAACTTTAAAAAAGCAAAACTGCAGACTAATATGTTTTATGAAAACAGATACAGAATTCTAGATTCTGATTTAACAATACTGTTGAAGTAGACATAAAGGAAGTTGGGGAAGAAGGTGAGACAAATACTGTAAAGAAAAATACAGGTTGTGAAAGAGGAAGGGAAAGAGAAATTGAGATAGAAAGTGTGTGTAGAGGGGCGCCTGGGTGGCTCAGTAGGTAAAGTGTCTGACTCTTGGTTTCAGCCCAGGTCATGATCTCAGGGTCATAAGATCAAGCCCCCAGTCGGGCTCCATGCTCAGTGCGGAGTTGGCTTGAGATTCTCTCTCTTCCTCACCCTCTGCCCCTCCCCCCTGCCCAAGCTCTCTAAATTAATTAATTAATTATTTTAATTTAAAGAGTGTGGCTAGAGAAACCTAATTTCAAATCCGCTCCTTTCCACTAAATACTGAGCAATTTGATTAAGGTTTATCACCTCTCTGGGCTTCACTTTATTCATCTCTAAAATGGAAGTAAAAGCAATTACCTTATAAGTTGCTTACATCATTTGAAGGATTAAATAAGATCATGTTTATACATTGCTCAACACAATGTCTGGCTTATATATCAATAAGTGGTAACTTAAAACCAAAGTGACTGGACATTTGCTGATGAAGTAAACAATACTCCCTGCACAACATCCAATGTAACCCAGACTCTATAACAGTTCTCTTTCCTTTTTTTTTTTTTTTTAAGATTTTATTTATTTGAGAGAGAGATCACACATGCCTGAGCATGAGAGCACAAGGAGGGGGAGCAGCAGAGGCAGAGAGAGAAGCAGACTCCCCACTGAGCAGGGAGCCCGATGTAGCACTTGATCCCGGAACCTGGAGATTATAACCCGAGCCAAAGGCAGCTGCCCAACCAACTGAGCCACCCAGGCGCCCCTCTACAACAGTTTTCACTAACTGATTCAATTAATCTCCAAATCCTCCACTATGTCTCTTGACAATCACTTTTTTTTTTTTTTTTTTGAGAGAGAGAAAGAGAGGGAGGAAGCGGGAGAAAGACAGAGAGAGAGGAAGAGAGAGAATCTGAAGCAGGCTCCAAGCCCAGCGTTGGAGCCTGACGTGGTGCTTGATCTCACGACCCTGAGATCATAACCTGAGCTGAAGAGTCAGATGCTGAATGGACTGAGCCACCCAGGGGTCCCCACTTCACTTTTCTAAAATATAAATACAGAGCAAAATTTTCTGAAATTGTAATCTCCATTGATCGTGCCAGTCCCCGTTCTGTGCAGAGGCTCAAAAAACACCTTCAAGGTATAAAAATGAGAGTGATACAAAATTCCCACCATCGCAGTTGCTGACCTTGTAAACTCACACAGGGACCTTGTCCCCAGAGAAAGGGTCATTATTAAAATACTCAGGACACCAGGTGAAGAAGGGAGAGAAGCTGGTGGAGGAGTTGTAGAAGAGACACTGGACATTGCCTTCTAACTTTGCTCCTTTTGAATCTGTATAGATTTGCTTATCTGATTAATCAGTCACCAATTTGGAAGACACAGAGCATGTAACACCCAATAATGAAAGTAAGTCCCTGGGACTATAAACCCTGGTACCCATCACATGCCTGGCACAAAAGAGAGGCACAGTAAATGACATTTAACCTGAAATGAACTGCATCCACAACTCCAGATAGGCAATGAACTAATGAGTTCCCAGTCTGCCATGCCCAAGGGCCTCACTGTCACTGTGTGGCAGGGAGGTTTAGCTCTACTGCTCTTACAGCACAGAGTCCTATTTCCCATTCAGAACCTCAGTGAATGGGGGGAGACTCCAACTCTTTTTGCCAGTCCATGTCACCCGCTTTCCCCAGAAGCCAGATCCTGGTTTGGGCACTTCCCACAGTCCTCACTGATCTGAGACTTGGCCACTGACTAGCCAGACCAAGCCATCACCACCCAGCTATTTAAGCACTTCCCACTGTGTTGCCTCTGACCTTGCACCTTTAGTCTGGATAACAAAAGAATTGGTATTTGGTGTTTTGTGCACTGAGTTCTCCCTAGAGGGAGAATCAGCACATCCATACCAATTAATCATCTTCTGCCCACATCTTCCTCAGGGCCACCCTAATCCTGCCTAGAATGAAATACAAACTTCCTCTGCAGACTAGTATAGACTACTATTTCTTTAACCATAATCATCTTTTAATAGTGAAAATGACCTAGGGAGGGATACTGTTTAACACCTCTGCAAGGGAATTGTCACTTGTTTTTTTTTTTTTTTTAAGATTTTATTTATTTATTTGAGAGAGAGCGAGCAAGTGAGAGAGAACGAGCAAGGAAGGAGGAGAGGGAGAAGCAGACTCCCCGCTGAGCAGGGGGCCCAATGCGGGGCTCGATCTCATACTCCAGGATCATGACCCAAGCCGAAGGCAGACGCTTAACCGACTAAGCTACCCATGCGCCCCTGTCACTTGTTTCTTAACTCATGCCTAGGGATGTTGTCAAAATTATAATTATCTCAACGGCAAACATTCAGATAAGGTCAACATCATGACCTGAGGTTTCAATACTGATTGGGACAAGCAAGAGATCCAGAAGCAAGACAAAGAGGGTCTTAATAAAATCTGATTTATATCCATAATAACCAAAGCAACCTTGAAAAAGGAGCAAATTTGGAGGATTTACACTTAACCGATTTCAAAACTTACTCTAAAGGCACAGTACCAAAGACAGTGTAGAACTGTCATAAGGACAGACATACAGATCAATGGAACAGAACTGAGACTAGAAATAAAGCCTGATATATATGGTTGATTGATTTTCAACAAGGGTGCTAAGGCAATTAATTCAATGAGGAATTATAGTATTTTCAACAAATGTTGCTAAGACAATTGAACAGCCACATACAACAATATAAATTTAGACTCTTAACTCACAACATACATAAAAATTAACCCAAATAGAATTGTAGTACTAAATGTAAGATCAAAAATTATAAACATTTTAGAAGAAAACAAGAGAAAATGTTTGTGACACTGAGGTATGAAATCAAAAGCATGATCTACAAAAGAAAAAAAATTATAATAAATTTTTTTTAAAAAACGATAAATTCAATTTCACTTAAAGTAAAAACTTCTGTGCTTTAAACAACACTATTTAAAAACTAAAAAACAAAAACAAGCCACAGACGTTGGAAATCATATATCTGATAAAGGACTTGTATCCAGAATATATAAACAATACTTACAACTCTGCAATAAGAAGGCAAATGTTCAAATTAAAAATTGAGCTAAGGGGGCGCCTGGGTGGCTCAGATGGTTAAGCATCTGCCTTCGGCTCAGGTCATGATCCTGGAGTCCCGGGATCGAGTCCCGCATCGGGCTCCCTGCTCGGCGGGGAGTCTGCTTCTCCTCCCTCTGACCCTCCTCCCTCTCCTGCTCTCTGTCTCTCATTCTCTCTCTCTCAAATAAATAAATAAAATCTTTTAAAAAAAAAAATTGGGCTAAGAATTTGAAAGACACTCCTCCAAAGGAGATATACATTTATGTCAATTTAAATGCATGAAAATATATTCTACATCCTAGTCACGAAGAAAATGCAAATCAAAACACAGTGAGAACATTTCACACCACCAGGACGGCTATAATCAAGAAAGACAGAAAATAACATCTGCTGGTGAGAACGTGGAGTAATCGTAACCCTCGTGCACTGTTGGTGGGACTGTAACTTGGTGCACTTTGGAAAGTTTTTGGCAGTTTCTTGAAATGTTAGACAGGAATTTACCACACAACTCAGCAATTCCACTCCTAGGAATCTAACCAAAAGAAATGAAAACATATGTTCAAAGAATTATATCCGAACATTTATAGCAACATTATTCACAATAGCCTCAAACTGAAAACAGCTCGTGTCCATCAACTGGTAAATGGATAAACAAAATGTGGTACTCCCATAAAATGAAATGCTATTTAGACATAAAAAGGAAGAAAATATTTATACCTATTTATACCTATTGGATGAACCTCAAAATCATTATGCTAAGTAAAAGCTGCAATATATGAAAGACCACATATTGTACGATTCCTTTTACATGAAATGTTCAGAAGAGGCAAATCCACAGTGAGAGAAAATTGATTAACGGTTGCCTGGGGCTAGAGGTGGGATTTGGGAGTAAGTACATATGGTCCTGAGGGTGATTGACAGCATTCTAAAATTGAATTATGATGATGGTTGCATAATCCCATAAACTTACTAAAATTCACTGACTTGCATACTTTAAACAGGTCAATTTTATGGAATATAAATTATGCTCCAATAAACCTGTTAAAAAAAAACAAAGGCTTTAATAGCTTTTGATATATTCTTACCAACAATTACTTGATGAATTTGCTTTGGTGTCAAAATTAAGCTGCAATCATGTTTTTCATGGGGCGTGGATGGGTCCGATTTAAGTCCTTTGAGAACCTGTGGGAAAATGTTACTCCAAGATTAATATTCAATATTAGCAAAAGATATTTTAAGAATTCTCATGACTTAATGGAATGTAAAATATTGCACATGCCTTTCTTCTCAGAGCTGTCGTCTCCTTGGATTCTATATTTCTGGTATTTAGTAATTGGTTAGGTTTAATCAGACACTTTGCTGAATATAATTCCTCCTCTATTTCCGTTTCGGAGAGTGAAGGTGACTTTAGACCGGACGCTGGCTGTAATCCTATGTCTGTATCATTATAGGAATCCATGCCTTCCCTATTGAAATCACAATAATAACTAATTGAGGCCAAGGGTTTTAGAAAATACACTGGCAAATCCCAACATTCCCCATTGCTCATGCTGCTGCTGACACACTCAGAACCACTTAGGAAGAATGAGGCGCTGATCTGCATAAAATTACCTTCTGCTGAGAAGACCCCATTCTCAAAGACCTCACCAAGGAAGTCAGGCCCACCCCACCACAACCAAGGACAGCTCACAATCAATGGCTGACAGCAGAAAGGAGCCCCTTTAAAAGAAAAAAAAGAAAAAAGACAACCCCTTTGGCACAACGCAGGAACATCTACGTGGCATAATTTATGCTTCAAGAGACCCTAGGCATCAGGCTGAGTGTAAGCCTTACCTGAAACATATCATTTCTCAGTTCCCTCCCCCGCCCTATCGTGCTTCCCTCATCTTGTCTCTCCTAAAAGAACACTGTGTTGGAACCCATCTCAAGAACTGCTTCTGGAGAAACAAAACAACGTTAAGACATTCCTGAACCAAAAGGAAAGAAGGAAATAACTGCAGTTAAAGGAGTTCAAGCTTTCGCTATTTTCATATATGAAAAGGTCACTTAATTCACTAAAAAGAAACTAAGGAGTAAAGAAAAAAAATCTGGCTCCGCAGGCACCACGATCCGTTTCATACTGTTTGAGGAGGTGACCTTTACCTCTCTGCTTGTTTCCGCAGGCGCGCACTTCTTAAATGTTTAATGTATCTTGCATAATAATTTTCATGTGCTTGCTTTTCAATTCTCTCAAATTTAGTATATGTGAAATCAGGATCCACATAGTTATACCTTGGAATCTTTGTGAAAATCGTCCTACAAGATGAGCAAGTTATGTCAATATTTAAATATATATATGCATTGAGTCAGTCTTATTGAGGGTCTCCTATGCTAGCGGCTAAGCACAGAATGGTGAAGAAGGCAGGTTCTAGTCCTTTCCCTCATATCCTCTTACATGGCAAGACATTATGACATACAGAACTAGAAGATCTAATTTTCTTCCTAACCTAATTAGAGAAAATTCCTAAGGTCACTGCCAAACAATGGTGCCTACTCTAAAACTACTCTTCAGGAATCAGTCAAGTAAGCAATTTGGAGAGTTCTAGAGTGGGGCGCCTGGGTGGCTCAGTCCTTAAGCGTCTGCCTTCGGCTCAGGTCATGATCTCAGGGTCCTGGGATCGAGCCCCACATCGGGCTCCCTGCTCAGCGGGAAGCCTGCATCTCCCTCTCCCACTCTCCCTGCTTGTGTTCCCTCTCTCACTGTGTCTCTTGCTGTTAAAAAATAAATAAAATCTTTAAAAAAAAAAATGGACAGTTCTAGAGTTACACATGGGACTAGATCTGAATCTGATTAGTGTTTCCTAAGAGGTAGATACTTTCAAATGACTGTGACAAAAATTACAAAAGTATATATATATAAAATCATAAATCCTTTTGTTAAAACACATTACTTTTTTAACATCTCAGAGCTTATGAAAGAACCATCAATGGTAAATCGATAAAGAGAAACCAATCCATAAATGAAGTACATCTACTTTATATCTCATGATCACTCATCTGAGTTCATGCTCTTCCTTTCACCCACCATATTTTTCCATAAAAACAAAATGTACAATTATTCATATCTTCTGACCTTGGTCTGCCTCAATACTCAACAGATTTTATCAATCATTAAGATTCTTACCCTCAATAATTAACTCAAGTATGAATCTATTAGTCATACGGTCAAATGAAATTTAATATTTCTCCCTGTTTTCAACAAGTCCTCGATGGTTACAGTAAGATAACTTTAACTGAATGACACTCTTTATGAGAGGCAATAAGAGAGAAATAAATGCTTTGCTATTCAAAAACTGTTGTTGAAAAGACCCCCAAGAACCAAAGCAATCTTGAGAAGAACAAACCTGGAGGTATCACAGTTCCAGATTTCAAGATAAACCACAAAGCTATAATAATCAAGAGTATGGTACTGGCAAAAAATAGACACATAGATCAATGGAAAAAATAGCCCAGAAATAAACCCATCCTTATACACTCAATTAATCTTCCACAAAGGGAGCAAGAACATACAATGAGGAAAAGACAGTCTCTTCAATAAACGGTGCTGGGAAAACAGGACAGCTACACGCAAAAGAATGAAACTGGACCACTCTATTACACCATACACAAAAATACTCAAAATGGATTAAAAATCTAAATGTGAGGCTTGAAGCCATAAAACTCCTAAAAGAAAACATAGGCACTAATCTCTTTGACATCAGCCTTAGCAGTATTTTTCAGGTTATGTCTCCTCAGGCAAGGGAAACAAAAGTAAAAATAAACTATTTGATTACATCAAACTAAAAAGCTTTTGCACAGTGAAGAAAACTATCAACAAAATGAAAAAGCAACCTACTGAATGGGAGAAGATATTTGGAAATGATATGTGCAATGAGGGGTTAATATCCAAATTATATAAAGAACTTATACAACTCAACACAAAAAAAACCCCAAATAATCCAATTTAAAAATGGGCAGATGACTGGAATAGACATTATCCCAGAGAACACATACAGAGGGCAAACAGACTCATGAAAATGTGTTCAACATCCCTTATAATCAGGGAAATAAAAATCAAAACCACAATGAGATGTCACCTTACGCAAGTCAGTTTGGATAGTATTAAAAACACAAGAGGGGCGCCTGGGTGGCTCAGTCGGTTAAGCGGCTGCCTTCGGCTCAGGTCATGATCCCAGGGTCCTGGGATCAAGTCCCGCATCGGGCTCCTTGCTCAGCAGAGAGCCTGCTTCTCCCTCTGCCTGCCTGCCACTCCCCCTGCTTATGCTCTCTCTCTCTCTCTCTCTCACTCTTTCTGTGTCAAATAAATAAATAAAATCTTTAAAAAAATAAAAAATAAAAACACAAGAGATGATAAGTATTGATGAGGATGTGGAAAAAAGGGAACCGTCCTGCACTGTTGGTGTGAATGTAAATTAGTATAACCACTGTGGAAAATGGTATGGAAGTTCCTCAAAAGAATAAAAATATGGGGCGCCTCAGTGGCTCAGTCGTTAAGCATCTGCCTTCGGCTCAGGTCCTGATCTCAGGGTCCTGGGATCGAGCCTCACATCGGACTCCCTGCTCCGCAGAAAGCCTGCTTCTCCCTCTCCCACTCCCCTGCTTGTGTTCCCTCTTTCGCTGTCTCTCTCTCTGTCAAAAAATAAATAAAATCTTTAAAAAAAAAAAGAAACAAATACAAATCCTTTTTAAAAAAAACATAAATAAAAATAGAAATTCCATAAAACCCAGTAATTCCACTTCTGGGTATTTACCCAAAGAAAACAAAAACACTAATTCAAAAACATATATGCAATAGCCAAGATATGGAAGAAATATAAGTGTCCATGAATAGATGCATGAATAAGTAAGATGTAATACATATATATATACACATATATGTATATACACATAATAGAATATTATACTGACCCATAAAGAATGAAATCTTGCCATTAGCAATAGTGGATGGACCTAGGGAATTATGCTAAGTGAAATAAGTCAGACAGCAAAAGACAAATGCCATATGATTTCACTTATATGTAAAATCTAAAAAACAAAACAGAAAAACAGAAATACAAATACAGAGAACAAACTGGTGGTTGCCAGGGAAGAGGAAGGGGAATGGGTAAGAGGAAGGGGAATGGGTAATATAGGTGAAGGGGATAAAAGCAGTACAAATTGCTGGTTATAAAATAAATAAGTCACAGAGATGAAAACTATAGCATAGAAAATAGTCAATAATATTGCAATAACATTGTATGATGACAGATGATAGCTACACTTATAAGCACTGCCTACTGTATACAATTGTCAAATCAATATGATGTACACCTGAAACTAATATGATACTGCGTGTCAACTATAATTCAAAAAAAAAAAGACAGTTGTTGAAATTTAAACTTCCCTCGGGCTTCAGGAACCTTAACCACCTTTAGAATCTAGAAATGGTTCCTATATCTGAAGTCTCAAGGTCTGTAACAAGGAGTAAAGGAAGGTAACGGAAAGAAGTAGTAAAATAAATGCCTGAAGTGACAAAGAGCTGGTTATTAACATACCTAAATGCTTATTCGTTCCATAAAGAATAAACTTCATAAAGCTAGCAAACTGAATTCAACAATACATTGAAAAAAATCATTCACCACAATCAAGTAGGATTTATTCCTCAGTTGCAAAGGTGGTTCAAAATTCAAAAATTAATCAAGGTGATATTTCACATCAGTAAGAGAAAGGATAAAAACCGTATGATCATTTCAATAGACACAGAAAAAGCATTTGACAAAGTACATCTACTCATGATAAAAACCCTGAACAAAGTAGGTTTAGAGGGAACATACCTCAACATAATGAAGGCCATCAACTAAAAACCCACTGCTAATATCATACCCAATAGGGAAAACAGAGCTTTTCCCCTAAGGTCAGGAACAAGACAAGGATATCCACTCTCACCACTTATATTTGACATGGTACAGGAAGTCCTAACCACAATAGTCAGAAAACAAAAAGAAATAAAAAGCTCCAAATCGTTAAGGAAGAAGTAAAATGTTCATTATTTGCAGAGGACGTGATATTATATATAGAAAACCTGAAAGACTTCACCAAAAAATTGCTAGAACTGATATACATATTCAGTAAAGTCACAGGATACAAAATCAATGTACAGAAATCTGTTGCATTTCTATAAACTAATAATGAAGCAGCAGAAAGAGGTATTAAGAAAAAAATCCCATTTACACTTATACCCAAAATAATAAAATACCTAGGAACAAACCTAACCAAAGAGGTGAAAAACTTGTACTCTGAAAACTGTAAAACACTGATGAAAGAAATTGAAGATGAGAGGGGAGGAATAAGATGGCTGAGGAGTAGGAGACCTAAATATTGTCTGGTCTCAGGAATTCAGCTAGAAAGGTATCAAACAATTCTGAACACCTACAAAATCAACAGGAGATTGAAGAAAAGAATAGCGGCAACTCTCTGAACAGAAAAGTGACCACTTTCTGGAAGGTCTCCTCTGATTTGTTTACTGTATATTTTTCTGGGGTTGTTCTTACCCTGTTAGCATGTTGTTCTCTCATTCATCTATTCTCCTCTGGACAAAATGACAAGATGGAAAAACTCACCTCAAAAAAAAGAACAAGAGGCAGTACTGACTGCCAGGGACCTAATCAAAACAGACATTAGTAAGATGTCAGAACTAGAGTTTAGAATGACAATTATAAAGATACTAGCTGGGTTTAAGGAAAGCATGGAAAATACTAGAAAAACCCTTTCTGGAGAAATAAAAGAACTAAAATCTAAGGAGAAATCAAAAAGCTATTAATGAGGTGCAATTAAAAATGGTGGAAAAGAGAGATAAACAACTACCAGATCACGAGGGCAGAATTCGAGAGATAAGTGATACCATAGATGAAACAATATGGGAATAATTGGGATCCCAGAAGAAGAAGAAAGAGAGAGAGGGGCAGAAGGTATATTGGAGCAAATTATAGCAGAGAACTTCCCTAATTTGGGGAAGGAAACAGGCATCAAAATCCAGGAGGCACAGAGAACCCCCCTCAAAATCAATAAAAATAGGTCAACACCCCAACATCTAATAGTACAACTCACAAGTCTCAGAGACAAAGAGAAAATCCTGAAAGCAGCTCAGGACAAGAGATCTGTAACCTACAATGGTAGAAACATTAGACTGGCAGCAGACCTATCCACAGAGACCTGGCAGGCCAGAAAGGACTGGCATGATATATTCAGAGCACTAAACGAGAAAAACATGCAGCCAA